TAGAAAACTCCAGCGATTTCGCTTCCGCGGCCCAAGCAAAATTGTATGAACAACACTATTTTTCCATTGTAACTGTGTAATTTGAAGTCATTCAGCTAGTTTCAGGTTTTGTCCAGGCTTAGTAACAAAAATAGACAAAAAATATGCAAAAATGACATAAACCGAAATTTTCAAAAAATTATGAAAAGTGTTCAAAGTTCGAAATTTTAATGGAAACGGTCACGAAACTAGAAAAAATTGGTAAATCTTAACTTAGTCCACATTTTTACCTATGCCCCCCCCCCTCCTTTTGACTTGGGCCCCCCCTTTTCTCATGGGCCCCCCTTGTCATAAAGAGCCAATATTTCTAATATAACTTTTTAAGTGATCCTTGTAAGCGGATCTCTTCTCATCACTATTATCTCCTCGTCTTTTGTTCTGATCTCATTGAAACGTCATCGGAAACAATTCAAAAAATTGGATACCGTATCCAATACATCCCTGAATTCAGCACTACGTCTACTATCCTGGACACTATTCGCCGAGATTTTAATTTCAGTTGCAGAGATTATCCCTTTTGTATTCATGGAATACAAAAAACATCGTAAGCCGAAGAAAATCAAAATTTCAAAAAAGATATGATTTCAGAAAGATCAACAAGTGGATGCTATTGGTTCAATCATGCCAGTAGAGTGGTCAGTGAGGCTTCATTTGCCCTAATTGAATCCTCCATTTGGAGTATTGCCTTAATTATTGACCCACTCACAAACGTTATTCTGGATACCACGGTTTCTAAGAAAGCGACAAGTCAGGTACAAAGTTAGGAACTTGTGATTGATGAACTTTTTAAAAAATTCAGATTAAATGGGCTCAAAAAAGTTTCGTTGGATTGGCGAGAAATATGACGGGGAAGTTTTCGAGGAGAAGAATAACAAATGGGAAGGAAACGCAAGTCTGTCAAGAAGAGCAAATTATTCAACTTGATACAATATCTTCTATAACATAATAGAAAATAAAGTTTTCAAAAAACATGACAATCCTGAAACAACAAAGGCTTGAAAATAGCTGTTATGCCAACAAACCTAGATGGTTGGCCGTCTGGAGGTCTAGATGCCTATAAGCTGATGCCAAATCTTGATTTACCGTGAAAACTGTAAAAGGAGGGCCCCCACAATGTCAAGTTTGAGCTCAATTATCTCAATTCCAAAAAAAAGGGTCAACTGATAAAACATTTGTGATATTATGATAAGCAATTTATCAGTTGACAACTTTTATATATCCTTGACAGGAACCAAGAAAAACTGGCTCAAAGTTAAACGTTAGAGACCGTTGTATTGAAGGTATTACGGTATACTGCTCTGAGAAATCAAAACAAGCTAATTTTTTCCAGAATCCAAAAACTCCAAACTATTTTTCCCTCTCTTTTGCCATCTGTCTTGTGCAATTAGCATGTATTATAACCCCCGTTTGCTGACAGATTGATGACGTCTTCTTCTTCTTCTCTTCATTGTCGGACCACAGGCGGTGCATCTCAAAAGAGTACACCTGTAGACACGTTGTCTCGACACCTTCCTTTTTCTCGCCGACCCGACAGGAGACTTTCGGAGGGGAAGAGATAAAAGAGAAGTTAAAAGGTTATGATCCCGACGCAATAGATAGGATGAGATGATGAGGAGAAAGAATTGTATGATTATTTTTGGAGCTTCTTGAAATGTGAAATTTCTAGAATTTCCATTTGAAATAAATAAATTTAAAAAAATCGGTAAAGAAAATGGGCACGCCGACATGCCTATATTGTCACTTCAGTTTTTTTCTAGGTTTTTTTTCCGGCAAAAAAGTTATCGATAAAATATAATCTATGAAGATAAACCACTATAAAAGTTGCTCACTAAACAAAACTACACAGTTCAGTTTTCAACTCCTTGGACCACTGAAACATGCGAACCGTTCTCCTCTTGACTTCTCTCACCAACGTCTGTTCCTCGTACAAATACATACAACTGGAATGTCATGTTAATGATGGATCAGAAGTCGTAGCCCAACGTGTTCTCGATGAGCTGAGCGATGCTGTGATGACTAGAAATAGAACTGCTATTGCGGATTGTCTCAGCGATACATTCGTCTTCTCTGGTAAAGTGAGAGGTTTGAAGAAAGGTAAAATAGGAAATAAGGAAAAGATTATGATTTTTTCTTTCAAAAAAAAATCATAGATTATGTTCTGAGAATCTCCAAACTGATTACTTTCAATGGAACAGTTACATCTGCATGGGGGAACGTCCCTCCAATCATTTTCACATGCGGACTTCAATTTCATCGTAAAACATCGAAGAGTCCATTTTCATCCAAAGAAAGGAGAAGAAGGAAAATACATTATCCGTTCCATATCGAATGAATTTGACTTTCAAGAATATTACAAACTTGAAAAGAAAGAACAAGTCGCTGTTGATTTTCTTCTTTCCTTGATCAAATCCATCAACTTCAAGGACAGAGACGCCGTGCTCACCCATATGACTGACGACTTCCAACTCTCTGCATGGAACCTATGATAGAGGTTAAGATTTCTCGTTGAAACATGTCTGATTTAATTAGGTTTCAGACTTTGTTGCTACTATGTACAGTGGTTTCCGTGACCTAAGGTTCTTCAAAGTTTGGATGAAGAGCTTTGAGTTTGTGAATGGAGAAGATGTCAAAATCGACTTACACATTTCTGAACCTTTGAACCATGACATGGGAATTCTCCCGCGGAATCCATACACAATCTATTTGTACTTGAAGTCTGTCGGAGGTGTCTACAAGGCAAACTTGGTCGAGTATCATACCGAATATGATTGGCCTGGAATCTGAACTAGTGGACTGATTGAAAAATAGAAAAATAAAATGCTTTTTGATACAATTGTATCTTCCCCCATTTTGTTTGGCTAATTATGTAATTATCCATAGTCTAATCCTGCTACTTTCAATCTTCTTTAACCATTGTCGACTTAGAATCTTTTTCGGTGCCCCGCGACATTGCTCTAGGGATATCCTTTTAAGTAAGGCCGTCTGTTGAGTTATGCATGTGTACAGTCTTGGGTGTTTTTGTGTTACCTAAATTATCTGAATCCGTAGAAGACAGTTCACACTTTAATGTAACGGGCTCCTCGGAAACCAGTAAAAGAGGACCTAAAACGTTTTGTTCTCTATTATTTCAAGTGTTGACATGATTATCACCAATTTGTGAAGTTTAGTTTTAAAAATATAGCTTGGCTGACAGCTTATAATTTTTGGTCAGAAGTTGAGGACTGTTCGGCTTTTGTATATTGACCAGGTTTTTATTGGAAGTTGCCCAAAAACGGCTGTATAGCGGGCCATGAGATTTTGGTAGAAAGTCGAAAATCCAACTAGATCGGAACCTTGTCATAAGATTGCAGGAGTTTGGTCGGCTTAATTAGCGGTCTTATCCGCTATCAGAACCTGACCAACCTCCGGTAGATAGGTAGGTACCGCCGATAACCAATGGCGGAGTTTCCAAATTTTACATGTCAGGATCAATTTTTTATGAACTCGGTTTCTTTCCTTGCAATTCGATCTTCCCCTATTTTGCGGATTTTACGTTAGGTCACATGTCATTTTTCTGTCATCTTATACACAGTCGGCATGTTTAAGGCATTTCTCTCTGTATCCCGCAACTTTCTTACGAGGGTTCTTTCCAAAAGGAAAGCCGCCAGCTGTCTTTTCTGTCGTTCAAACTAATAGTAAGAATACAAATCCCTAGGAAGATCTCACCACAGTGATGGGGGAATTCAAGAATTATAAATTACCACTGCATTCTGCACGTTCTAATGAAGGTGTTCAACTCATTTAAACTCGGCAAAACAAGCAACTTGGTACATCGAAACCGGCAGGTGCTAACTAACACACAGTGAACTCTAAATTACTGGCAAGGTGAAGAGGCGTCAGTGAGGTGAGACAGGAATGAACGACAAATGTGAACACAAGAGGATCAATGAATGTGTCAATGAAGTGTTATTGGGGCCAATTACGTCGTATGACTTTTATATAGTAGCAATGAGGGCCTTGGGGCTGGAAATTTCGGAGATATTTGATTCTAACATTTGTTATTTGGTTCTAACAATCGACAGATGTACCTGAGGTGATTTTTGCGTCACGGCTGGCCTTTTGATTATGGTACGTCGGGGAGACACGGCGGCCTTGCCGTCCTAATGGTTTCTGGGTATCTGAGCGTATTTTCGAAAGAACGAACTGATTGGTGCATATACGCATATCCCCTCATCTTTCTGAATCTTCAAACACCGTATCCTCTAATATGCGCACCTAAACGGTAAATTTTGAGCTTAATTATCTCGATATCTGTGAAAGATATCAACATTTTGTCAACTGATAAAATATTGGTGATATTACGGTGGATAATTGTTGACATATTTGATAAAGTTTCGATATCTTTCATAGGAATTGAGACAATTGAGCTCAAAATTCAAGGGTTGGGCATATCAGAGAAATTTTTACATTACTGCAACGCAGTAACTTCAATTTCCAAATGAGCCATTGCTTAACCCAACTTTCATCATTTCAATTCTCATCTTTATAATCCCAATAACAGTAATTCTCTCTTGACCCTATCCTCTACCTATCGAAGTCACCAAGCCGCCCCCTTTCGCCACGTTGCTCCTGGGAATCATGCCACCCTCCCTCCGTGACCACGCCTAGACGGTAGATCAGACACCTCCTGCCCCGCTCACAAGGCGGGACCACAGGTGTGCGTTCTTTGGTGACTGTCCCTCATTCATTCATTATCTCTGTCTTTGTTTTCATTTCCCTCTCCTTTCTTCTGAACCACCCTTCGAAGGGTTGGAGAATCTTCGAGTGCTCCAATTCCTAAGATGGATATCGATTTACCGTTTCTCCTATCTTCCAGAATCTTTTCCGTAATCTCCTAATATATATGTTTTTCAGTTCTACACCAAATATGGTCTCTGCGTGCTTGTCCTCTAGAGTCAATCCCCATTGGCTGAATCTTCATCAAATGCAGCATGAGATGGTTGTGACTGTCGGCGGTCGTCGTGTCTTCCCAATTTTGGAATACCAGCTCATGAATCTGAATCCATTATCCATGTACAAACTCACAGTTCACTTTGAGCATGTTGATAATATGAGACTAAGACAGTGCAATGGAAAATGGTCCGAGACGATTTCCACTGAGAAGAAGGAGGCTCCAAGAAAGGTTTCACATAAGTCGGGGGTTAAGGATGGGGCCAAATGGATGGCAGAGCCAGTCAACTTTGAAGACATTCGTATTACCAATCGCAAGACGTTGGAAGATAAATCTGGTTCTATTGTAAGTTTTTTTTTCTTTTTTCAGGTTTTCAAATGGTATTTCTTCTCTTTTCAGGTTCATCTTCACACACAACACAGATATCTTCCAGTTCTCACCGTGACTGAAATTGAAAGCGGATCGGAGCAGGAGTTCAGAATCCCACACACTGTTTTCATCACAGTGACGACCTACAGGGTAAGGACCTAACTAATTATGGACCATGAAAACCATTTTATCCTTTGTTTTACAGAACAGAAATGTTAATCAATACAAGATCAATATCAACGAATACTCCAAGAACAACCGTCGTCAGAGCATCGAGCAAAAAGAGAATCAAGTGCCGGAATCTACCTCAACACCTCCAACCACCCCCATGGATATTTTCCAACTATCTCTTCAAGCTTTAATTTTGTCTAATCTTTCACAAAATGCTCCAATTTACCCATCTGTCATGACTCCACCAACCCCATCTACAAGCCCTCTCAGTGTAGCATCTATCCTTGAGCCAACTCCTCCAACACCTTCATATTTCAATCCATATATCCTCGCTGGTTTAGGACTTCCTCTCCCAACCCTTCCAACTCTTCCATTCTGTGTGCCCACCAATCCATCCGCTCTCCCATTCCCCTCTGTCGCTCTGACTCCACCAAGCCTTCCTTCACCGTCAGAAGAGATCTAATTCCTTCTTCTTCTTCTTTACTCCCACCGGTTTGTTTCGGTGCCCCTCTTCTTTTTCCAGTTGTTTCTCAAATCACCGATCTCTCCATCTGCTCATAACCATGTCATTTCGAAGTTTCTCTGGTTTTTTGATGTTTAATAAATACTTTTAACAACTGTATATTTTGTTAGTTTTTCTTGGGTTTCAATATCGTGGTTTTGTAAATGTATGGGCTGACAATCTTTCAAGTCGTTATGACTTCAAGCTGAGAAAGTTCCTTAAATTTGCGTGAGCCTCTCACCTACCTAACAGCTAGTGGCTCCCAAAAAACGCCGCAAGAGATTTCCACACGATTCCCAACGGATCCCCAAAAAAAGAGATCCCAAAAAATTTGTTTTCAAAATTTTGGTTCCTGACTAAAGTAACACTGAATATTGGCAATAGGCTTCAGGTGAATTGTAAGTACTACTTCTTTATTCCACGGTATCCCATAACGTTCCCATTCAGAGCAATGAGTCAGAAACGTACTCATGAGCAGACACTGGCTAAAGAACCCTGGTATCATGGATTGTTACCACGCGAGGATATGAAAGTGCTGCTGACACAGCGTGGCGATTTTCTCGTTAGATTCACTGATCCGAAAGTCGGGGAACCTAGAAAATTCGTTCTTTCGATTTATGTGGGCGTGGCTGATGAGGTGGGTAGATGATCCTTCGAAGAATGAGGCTAGCATTCGTTTTATTTTTTCAGATACGTCATTATGTCATTCAAGAATATGAGAACAAGTTTGCTGTGGACGCCAAATGGTTTGCATCGATTCCGGATCTTCTGAACTACCACCATCGGACCAAAGAACCAGTGGCTATTGGGGTAGGTTTCTGAACATCTGGATACTTAGAGAACAGATTTTGTACCTCTTTGTACCCCCGAATTGTTGTACCCTCCGAATTACGTGCCGATTCTTCCAGTGTGCAGAATCTGTGTTGATCCGTCCAATCGGTCGTGAACCATGGGAAAAGCAGCATTCTGATGTGACATTGATTCGAAAACTCGGAGAAGGCGCGTTTGGAGAAGTTCAGTTAGGAGAGATTCGTATCGGGAATACTGTCAAAAAAGCGGCAATAAAACTGGCAAAACTGGAGGCTCTAACAAAGGAACAAATCAAGGAAATCATGCATGAAGCGAGATTGATGAGAAAATTCAAACATCCGAACGTCGTCACTTTTTACGGAGTTGCCGCTGGACAAGAACCGTTGATGGTGATTATGGAATTGGCTGATAACGGAGCGCTTGATTCATATCTCAAAAAGCATGCTAGCAGTCTCTCGATTTCAAAAAAGAATGACATGGTTCTGCAAGCGGCTCTTGGTCTTGAATACCTTCATTATCTTCATATCATCCATCGAGATATTGCTTCTAGAAATTGCCTTTATGGTGGTGGACAAGTCAAGATATCAGACTTTGGAATGTCGAGAGAGGGATCCAGTTATCGGTTGAATCCTCATAAAAAGTTGTTTTTTCAAAAAATTATTTTCTCAAATTGTTCGGAATTTTTAGAGTTCCAATCAGATGGTTGGCTCCAGAAGTTCCACGTACTGGATTCTACACACCTAAAACTGACGTCTTCGCGTATGGAATAATGTGTTGGGAAGTGTATCATGATGGCACAGAACCGTATCCCGGGATGAAGGTGGCTGAGGTATTGCCACGTGTTCAGGAGGGATATCGGATGCCGTTCGATGCAAAAGTGACAACTGCAGTTGTCAAGTATATCACTGTAATTTTTTTTTTCAATTCCAGACATTTTTCTCTCTTTTTAGGAACGGATTTGTGCTGGTACCGAACAAGAACGTGTCACAATGTCTGATGTGGTCAGGGAGCTTCCAAATCTCGACGGATTCGAGCAGGCTCCGGCATCCAACAGCTACTTTGAACTGCCAGGAAATAAAACGCCGAAAGAAGATGTTCAAGGATCGAAGCAAGCGCCAATTGGGAATATTCTACCGTACCCGTCTCAGCCAGTAGTCACTCCAACTGCTTTTCTGAACAACAATGTGCTCCAGAATCCGCCCACTCGTGTTTTAGAAAGACAGGAAACGACGTTAGAACAAAGGAAATCAATTTCGAATAGTACGGAAGATGGGAAGTGAGTTTTTGAAGAAGTTTTGAAAGAAATACTTTTGAAAAATTTGAATTTACAGCCGGAAAAACAAAAAACCAGTTCGTACTCGGATAACAAGCTTTGGAAACTTCCGTACGGATCAACCAACCGGCACAACCAAAACTCAATCCATGTCGATGGCCACAAGGGCTCAGGCGAATGCAAAAGTGAGTAAAACACAATTTTTTAATATTTTTGAAACGTCGAATTTTGCAGAAAAAGAAGAACAAACAAGCGTCATCGTCATCTTCTGTCGACGCTCCATCGTCAGCCGGATTCTCAATGCTGAGCATTTTTCAGCGGAAAAAACCGGATAAGAGCGACACGAAGAAGCCAGAAGAGTAGAATAAGAACTTGACATGATTATTTTTCTGAATGAATGAATGAATGCTTTGTTTGTTCGAATAGAAGTTTCTGGAGTTCTGAACAGCAGATAAAAAGAACTTTGAATCCCAAAAGTCTGTAAATCTGAAATCTATGAAGCCTTGAAGCTCGGAATCATCGAAGCCAGAAGGCCAGAAATCTGGGGTTCAATCAAATTATGAAAAGTTTTGTTATTCATATCCTTTCACTATTTTTGACGTTTTCCCTTCAACCGGCACTTTCATCCTTCAGCCCAAATTTACAATTTTCAGCCCTATATTCAGGGATTCCGGATAGAAATATCTAGTCATCTTTCAGACGACAATGGAGGGGATTAGAACTGAAAACCCAAAAATAGGGATCATTCTAAATACTTCTATCAGTAGAGCATCTTGCCGAAAGTTCTCGAACTTCGATTTGAAAATATAATATTACATGTGTTGCCTTTTATGTCCCTATCTCTCTTTTACGACACAAGGCCATAATAAGCAATAAGCAATAAACACAAGTCTTGTAATACTAATGTTTCTACATTGCTACTCTCCTGAATTTCGGTCTATCCCTTCCTCTCCGCTTGTCTTCTCCTTCTTCCCCTTCTTCTCTCTTATTAACGTTCTCCTTCTCCTTTTGCTTTGAATTCAAAACACGCGCCTTCTCCATTTGCGCCTTCTGGTTGCCATGGTGATTCTAATATCCCACTTCTTCGGACCCTCTATTGTTTTCTCGATTTAAAACTAAAAAATGGATCCCGACATTGAGAACGAACGAATCGAAGACCGCAAAAAGTGGGGACATAAAGATGTGGAGCACTGGAGGGCAGTATCCAATGTGCATTATTATACAAGGTTAGCTCAATTGTATTTTTTGTATGTATTGACATATTTTTCCAGAGAAGGCTTCTATGGAACAGCAATATTGGTTTGTGACGGAAGGCTGGCTACAGTTCAGGACGTTCCACTGGCGATTTTGAAAGGAGTTTGCCTGGTTCTTCTAGGGAAAATTCCAGAGGCAATTCGTCATTTGGAAGCATTTTCTAATGACCAAAATTTTTCTTTGGGAGCACTTTATGCACTAAAATGGGCTCATGCAAGCGCTTTCAACCCAGGTAAATAGGGAACATTCAAAAAAGAGCACTTGACTCTAAATGTCAAAAATATTTTGTGAGCCATTTTCAGACAGTAAATCTATCGTTGAAATTGAGGCTGAAATTTCAAAAACCGCAAGAAACGAAAAAACGCCTTACACTTCGTATGCATCGGCGGCAGAGGTGAGTCTTCAGATCTCTTCCGATTTCACAGAGAAATCTCTAGGTCCTCTACTTTGCCGGAGAGTTCCAAAAGGCAAAGCAAAATCTGGATATTGCTGGGAAGCGATCAACGGAAAAGCATGCGAAATATTACTGTTTGATGGGTTGGATTGATTTGGGTTTGGGCAAAAAACAGAAATCAACTCAGGAATTATTTGAGAAAGCTGGAGGCCAGGAATATCCGGATGGGTGAGTGATGGTTTATAATGCTGAGCAATCAGGTATTAAATTTGTCCGTTAACTCAAAAATTGTTTTAAAAAACATCAAACGAAATTTTTCGAAGAATTTTGATAGTTATAAATTTTAAAAATTCTAAAAAATTGGAAATTAAGGAAATTAAGAAATTTTTGGTATTAAAAAATCCAGAGTTTAGAAGTTCGGGAATTCCAATACTCCGAGTTTCAGAATTTGAGAAATTTAGTTATTCAGATGTTCGTAAGGATCTTGAAGTTCGACAACTCGAAAACTTAGAATTGAGCAAGTTTAAAACCCTAGGAATTCAGAGATTAGTGGTTTCAGGCCTCCTGTTATCAAGAAATGGGGAAAATCAGAAATCTAAAAATTAAGAAACTTTGAAAATTCTAAAATTCGGGTGAGTGATATGGTGAGTGATGGTTTATGACAACAAGATATGACTATATATATGTGTCAGATTATTCTGAAAATGTTGTAGTATTTTTCATCGAACAGAGCTCCAATTCGGTATTTGAAGGACTGAAGTCTGCGGAAATTTGATAATTCTAAATTCAGAAATTTGAAAATTCAAAAATTCAAAAATTTCAGATATCGAAAATTCAGAATTTAGAAATTCGGGAATTCGAATATTCCAGATTTCAGAATTTGAGAGAATCAGTAATCTAGAAATTCAGACGACCGGAAATTTGCAAGATTGAGAAAAATGCGGAAATTCAAAAATCCTGAAACCTTGAATTTCAAAAATTCGAAAATTCAGAACCTTCGAAATTCAGAAAGTTGTGATTTCACCCTTCTGTTATCACGAAACGTGGAAATTCAGAAATTTTAAAATAGAGAAATGTATAAAGCTTTGAAAAGGCAAAAATTTAGAAATATGAACTTTCGAAACCCAGAAATGTCAAAAAATTGGAAATAGAAATATGGGATTTTGGAGACTTGGAAACTAGGAAATTTCGAAATTAGTTTAAGATACAGTAAACGGAAGCCAATTTTTGATATATTTAAAGTAAAATTCTTAAAAGTTTTCAGAAACATCGGTCGTTGTAAGATCCTTGAAGGCCACCACTCTGCATCTGAAATGAGAGTTGCTGCAAATGAATTAGCCATTTCCACAATTCATTTTCTGCCAGGACACATTGAAAAAGCAAAAGCCCTAATAATGTTAAGAGACTGGCATGGAGTGATGGATTGTATTGTGAATGCCGATCAACAAGAAGGAAGCAATCCATACATTGAGATTCTGCGAACCACTCATGGCATCTGCTTCGCTGGAGAAGTATCTCAATTGAATCGAACTCTTCAGCTTCTTTTGAAAAGTTTGGATGACAATGAATCAATCAACCACGCTCTTTATGCAAAAATCACAAAATTGATTGTATCGATTAGTGGGAAAAATGAGAAGATTTTGAGACATGCGAGGTACTAAATAATTGAAGATACTACTAAAAAACTCAAAAAGTTTTCAGAGACTTCCTGATCCGAGCTTTGAAGCTATCTCGGAAACCCGACTATGTAGCTCTTTCACTCCGAATTGCATTTGGATTAGGAGATGCTAGAGAGGTTTCTGTACTTTCCCAAGAGCTGATTGCATTGGATTGTGAGGATCCTTATGCCATTTTGTCGTCGGTCACCTCTATGTTGATGGTCAGTCGAGTGTCTGATGCCAGGGCTCAATTCGATATTATGCCAGCAGCCCATCCGAAGCTGTTAGAGTCACCGGTAAGCACAGGGTTCATATTGCTGTGGAAAAGTGGGCGGAGTCAGGGGGATTATCCTCAATTGCAAGACGTGCCCGGTATTGCCGCGCAGCTTTTTTGCTCATTCGCCTACGGTATTGAAAAAAATCGTGCGCACTTTGCAAGTTCGGCTCCGCCCCTGACTCAGCCCACTTTTCCCGGTAAATTTTTTCCTCGTATTTTGAGTTTCCCCTTCATTTACAATGGTTTTGCAGTTCTACTACCTAATCGCCTCAGTACTTGCCAAACACAGCAAGGATAAATCGTTTGAAAACTTCCGTCAACACATTGAAAATCTAATTGAAATGCTTCGAAACCAACTGCAATCCTTCCCATTTGGCATCGATTATCTTTTGTTATTCAGTTCGGATCTCTTATATTTTGCCATCGAACAGTGCTTCGATTTCTATCCGTTGGTCCCAATGAAGGCTCCAGATGACACGATGAAGCTAACTTCGAAGATGCTCCAAATGATTTATGATGTTGCACCTGGTCTGGCTTATTGTGCATTGCAATTGGCAAGAAATTGCTATTTGGTTTCAAATACAAATGCAGCTGAAAAATGGATTTATAAGGCGCTGGAGAAAGATGACTCGTTGGCAGATGCACATATTCTAAGAGCACAATTGATTCTGGATAGAGGTGGAAAGATTCAAGATGCTGATGATGCACTTGTTACTGGATTGAATTTCAATTTCAAATTGAGAGAGACCTCACTTTATCATTTGATAAAATCGAAAACTTTCAAGAAGAGAAACGAGAATGATGAAGCGCTCAAAACACTGAAAATGGCATTGCAAATTCCGAAAAAAGAGATGTCGAACAATCTATTTGTACCCAAGGAATCTGCGGACACACATAAAATTTCAGTGCAATTGGAATTGATTGACACGTTACGGCAAACCAAGAGAATCGTAAGAAAACATGTTTTGTAGTTCTACAGTAACCCATTTCCAGCAAGACGCAGAAGACACAATGGCAGATGCAATGGCTGAGTGGGCGGGGCAACCGGAGCAACATCAACTTGTAATTGCTCAAGCTCAACTGTATCTAACCAAAGGACATACTGAAAAAGCATTGGCAATTCTGAGAAAAATTCAACCGGGTCAATCGAATTTCCATTTGTCTCGAATTCGAATGGCGGAAATTTATTTAGAAGAGAAGAAGGATAAACGAATGTTCGCTGCTTGTTACAGGTCTAAAATTCTGAAATTTTGGAATTCAGAAATTCGCAAATACTAAAATTCTGAAAATCTGAACTGCTGAAATTCCGAAACTTGAAATGCATTTTTTCAGAGAACTTCTAAAAGTCGAACCAACTCCTGGATCCTATTCCCTTCTCGGCGATGCTTTCATGAAAGTTCAGGAGCCAGAAGACGCCATTAATTTCTATGAGCAAGCTCTGAAAATGCAATCAAAAGATGTGCAATTGGCTGAAAAGATTGGCGAAGCTTATGTGATGGCTCATCTTTATTCGAAAGCTGTTAATTTTTATGAGTCCTCTATGAATATTTATAAGGATAAGAATATGAGGCTGAAGTTGGCCAATCTACTGTTAAGATTGAAAAATTATGAAAAGTGCGAGAAGATTCTACGAGCTCCATTGGACAGGGAACCGGAGCCATCGGATACGGAAACTATCCAGACGCATATTCAGTTTTTGTTGCTTTTGGCAGAGTGTCATGAAATGGTTGAGAATATTCCAGAAGCCATGAAAGATTTCGAAAAGTTAGTTTTCCTTTTTTGTCTGTGTATCCGGATGTCTTTGTTGTAAATGTTTGCCGAGCACCGTATGTCCTTTAATACTCAGAAGCCCACCCAAGCCGTCAATTTTGAGCTCAATTATCTCGGTTCCTGTAAAAGATATGGAAATGTGTGAACTGATAAATTATTTATCATAATATCACCAGCATTTTAACAGTTGACACATTTTTGCTATCTTTCACAGAAATCGAGATAATTAAGCTCAAAGTGAACGGTTTGAGTTGGGGAATTTTGAAAGAAATTTGAACAAATCTCATTGACTAGAGTGCAAAGAACGAAAACTAATCAAATTTAAAAAAAATAATTTCCAGAGCCAAAAGCCTTCACAACAAAATCCAAGACAAGACCAACACGACGGGTCTTCGAAAAGAGGGTGCGAGAATCTGCAATCTCCAAGCAGAACTCTATTACCGTCGTCATGAATTTCCGCCAGCCATCGAAGTCTGCAAACAAGCTTTACAGTTTTATGAGACAGATCTAAAGTCGAATTTATTGTTGAGCAGAATTTATAAAGACGAAAACAAATGGACATTGGTCCTGCAGCCATGTCAGGCTGTCCTACAAGTTGATCCTCATAATGATGAAGCTAATTTGGTAATTTTTTAAGGACTTAAAGTAGGGGAGACAGAAAAAATTTCGGAGTTTTTTGGAATCATTTTGTGCATTCTGAAGTGATGGTGTACAGTGTTCTGAATCATATTTTAATTCCCTCTATTTTCAGATCCTCGCTGATTTCTACTACATCAAAAGCGAAGCTGATCATGCAATGACCAGCTATATAACTTTGTTAAATAAAAATCCTCGTAAGATCTTTTGTCTGTCTGTGTATCTGTTTGTCTTATTTTCACCTATTTTCAGTTCACTGGCATGCTCTATTCCGAGTCGTTGAGTTGTATTGTCGAAAAGGAGAACATCATAAAGCAGATGAATTTTTGAAGTAAGTTTTTTTCAAATACTTCTTGCAAAAAAAAGTTTAAGCTCGGCTCGAGACGCGAATCCTCGATGTGTAACCGAAGCTGGATACAGTGTGTGTCGTGGACGATTCGAATGGTATACTGGTGATCAATCTCAAGCACTTCGATGCTATTCGAGGGCTAAAGACTCTCCAAATGTTGTATGGAGAGAGAAAGCGTTGTACGCAATTATCGATATCTGTTTGAATCCGGAAAATGAGAAGATTCTCGATGCGGATAGTGTGGAAAATGCGGAGCAGAAGTGAGTGGAAATTATCGATTTTTGGAAGAATAGGTCAAATGATTTAATGTGATGAAACCATTGAAAAAACCAGAGCAAATCGTCGGAAAATTGAGAAAATAGGAAAATACTTTTCGAAATATGCTCAAAAGATACGGTAGTTTGCTCTTGCGCCTTTAAAAGAGAATTATGCCTCGTACAAATCATCATGCTCTTTTTTGTTTGAAATGTCCGGAAATTCAAGAATTGATAAGATTTTGAATCACAAATAAACTTCCAGAACGACCGAAGAAGCGGCGGATCAGCAAAGCACTGCACAAGTGTATCTCGATCTTCTTGGGAAAGTAGGACCAACTGAACGCTATCGACTGGCCCAGAATTTCGTTCGAATGCATACAACTGACAAAAATACAATCATGGCAACCATCGACGAATTCAACAAAATGGCATACGCTGCTGATAAATCAATTATCAGTGTTGCGGCAATTTATGGAATCGCTAAAGGTTATTGGCTTCTGAAAAAGCAGCAACCAGCTAAGCAATTATTGAAATCTTTGCATGGGAGAGTATGGAATTTCGATGATGCCGAATATTTGGAAAAGTGTTGGCTTCTGATGGCAGAGATTTATGTGGGTGCGTCGAAATGGGAACAGGCTGGAACGTATTTGGATCAAGTGTTGAAATACAATTGTAACAGTTTGAGAGCATTTGAATTGTATGGACAGGCGAAAGAAAAAGAGCAAAAGTATGTGGAAGCAAGCAAGATTTATGAGAAGGCATTCAATACGACCAATCAGAAAAGTTGCAGTTTTGGTTAGTTTTCGTTTAATAGTGGTGTGTGGTGAAGTTTTGTATTTCTTTATTTTGTACAGAAAATATAGTAGGTTAACATAAAAATAAAGAAAAATACTCAAAAAAAAACCTTTATGTCATGACCTAGATTTCCATTTTTAGGTCATGACCTAGGTTTGAATTTTTAGGTCATGATCTAGATTTCAATTTTCAGGCGTGACCTCGATTTTAATTTTTAGGTCATGACCTAGATTTCAATTTTAGATTCCAATTTAGATTTCAGATTGACCTAGATTCCAATTTTTAGGTTGTGACCTAGGTTTTTTTTTCATTTCAGGCTACAAACTCGCATTCACTCTACTAAAAACTCGTCGCCTGTTCCTTTGCATTGAAACTTGTCAAAAAGTTCTGGATATAAATCCACAGTATCCGAAGATTCAGAGAGAAATCATGGATAAGGCCAGAGGAATGATCAGGACTACTTGACCTTTTTTTATTTATTTTTACATTTTCATTTTTGTAAATAACAATAAAGCTTTTTCATATTTTTTAGTCTTTTTTGAGTGTTCCTTTTCCCCTCCCACTCAGGTCAGAGACTACTTCCATAAGTTTCAAACTTTGTGCTCTGACCCAATCTTCTTCTCTGATTTCTCTGAACTCTCTTCTATTTCTTATCCATTGGGGATCTCTGTTTTTTCACCCGAGTACTCTCCTGCGTCTCTCTGATCTGTGCATTCTCTAGCTTTTGCCACTTGGCTGAAGAGTTTGAAATCATATTGACTTGTCTCAAAAGATAACCCCCTTTCGTCTTTTCTCAAACCCTCCGATTTCCTGTTTATCAAATTGGAACACTTTTTCTCAAATTTTCTGTCGTTTGATTTAGAAATTACCAGATTTGAACAGCCCGTTAATCCAGGGGATTTCCTCATTTTTCTCTGTAAAAATATGATTCTTAAGTGGATTTCTTGGGGGAAAAGAGCGAGAAGCAACTACGCACTTATTCGGAGGGTAAATGTACAACACACAGACAACATTCCCTTGTTTGAATACACTTTTTTCTTGCAAAAAAAAGGTTTTTACCGGCACAGTGATTTTTGGAAATAGATTTGTCTGGGTTGTTTCGAATTCATAATTTTCTAAAATCAAGAATGTGATTGAGACCTTGTTCCATTTCTTTTTGAATTTTCAAAAATTCTTTGATTTTTCTAATTTTTTGAATTTGGAATTTACTCCCTTCTCGAGTTTCTAGAAGTTTTTTAGAGTTCTTACTGATTTTTAGCAAAATCTCTGTTTAAAAATCTCTTTAATTTTCGGCTCCTGTCAAAGATATCAGAATTTTGTTATGGCGCGTTCAAAGTTGATTTCCAGGAGTAATTTCCTGGAAAAACACTGTCCAAAGCTGCCATTGTTTTCCAGAGGCCTCCGTTTCGAGACCCGCCGTAAATCGACATGAATTAACAGGAAGA